AGCAAGTAGCATTTACCCCAAGGAGAAAACTTAACAGATATGGGCACAGAACATAATGCACCTTAAAGAGTTGTGTGACTTAAACACTCACTCACACAGGCACTGATTCAAAGGAAAATGTTACGAAATCCAGACGGTTCTGGATAAAAGTATTTTTAAATTTGAGTTCCCACAAACATGATTGGTTGAATTAAACTAAATGGGGGTTTGCACAGTGCCCTGAACTGTAAACTTTCACATGGGTTGGATTCATGCAACACATGAGATAAGAGATGTGGTGGGTCACTGTTGTATGAACTCAGCCAAATGCATCCAGCTCATTCAGTGGTTCCTGGATAAGAATGGCAGTGAAGATACTGAATAGTCCAGGGGTAGGCCACCTTGGCTCTTTTATGACTCGTGGACTTCAACTCCCAGAATTCCTGAGCCAGCATGGCTCAGCTTGGAAACCTCTCCCTTTCCCCTCAGCGTGGCTGGCTCAGGAATTCTGGGAGTTGAAGTCCATGCGTAAAAAAAGAGCCAAGGTGGCCTACCCCTGGAATAGTCCATTTGCATCAGTTATTCATGGTCCTTTCTGCATCAAGAGGACTTGTAGTGGTGAATATTACTACACATAGTGCTATGTTAAATCACAGTTCTGAAACTTGATTTAAGTAACATTAATGAGTTCAGTTCCTGGAAAGATTTAAAATAAGCTCAAGAATGATTTAGCCCTATATATTCTGTTATGCTATCAGAAAGAGAGAGAGGGAGAGAGAGAGAGAGAGAGAGAGAGAGAGAGAGAGAGAGAGAGAGAGAGAGAGAGAGAGAGAGAGAGAGAGAGAGAGAGAGAGAGGCCCGCTAAATATTGATACCAATCCTCACAATGAGGGTCTACTAATTAAAGTCAACTAGGTTGAGCACAGCCTGACATTGGCCACATGATATGCTTGTTTTTTTCATGGAACTGGGATCATTAATCAGCATCAAGAGAAAAGTTAACTTCCCATGCCTGATGAAGCATTAAAGTGGGCAGAAATCAATGGTCTTTAATGTTTAATGAAGCATTGAGGACCATCAGAGATTGGACTTGGATTGAAAGAACTTGCTACAAGTTAGTCTAATCTGATGTGCTGCCTAGAACTCACGAGAGATGTAGAAAATCTCAATTTGGTTTCCCATAATCTAACTTAGGGACAATACTGTGGCTGTGGGTGTTTTGATTTATTATTCAGTAAAACGGGATACGCTTTATAAGGGAAGCTAATTCAGTGGCAACGTCTTGGGTGGGTGGGTGGAGCCTTTCTGCGTGCACATATATGATTTTCACAAAGAATTATGCTGTTGTGAAAGTGATAGTTTGGGGGAACTGATATAAATATGCAACAGTCACTGTGGATTTCCCCATTACTAATTTGATTATAGAAATATTTAGTAATATTAGGTGTATTGGTGAAATTGTTATTATTATGCATTTATGGGTTCCATGATTTATTTAGAGTAAGAGATTTATATATATATATGTATATGTGTCTATGGTTGTTTGGTATGTATATCTTTTATATTTTAATTCTGTTAATTCTGTATCCAGTTTTTTTTCTTAAACTAAAACAAGACAGTGTTTTATTTTATAATCATATCTATATTGAAGGGAGTTGCAAGGAACTTCGTTAATGTTATTTTAAAGGGGGAGGGGGTGTATCACTTTTAAACTTTCCCTGTTGTCTCCTTCCCCATTTTTCCCCTTTTTGTTGTAATTTTGTATCTTAACTTTTCCTCTTTGGAAAGAAAGAAAGAAAGAAAGAAAGAGAGAGAGAGAGAGAGAGAGAGAGAGAGAGAGAGAGAGAGAGAGAGAGAGAGAGAGAGAGAGAGAGAGAGAGAGAGAGAGAGAGAGAGAGAGAGAAAGAAAATGAGAGAAAGAAAGAAAATGAGAGAAAGGAAAGAAAGGAAGGAAGGAAGGAAGGAAGGAAGAAAATAAGAGAGAGAGAAAGAAAATGAGAGAAAGAAAAAAGAAAGGAAGAAAGAAAGAAAAAGAAAGAAAGAAAATAAGAGAAAGAAAATAAGAGAGAAAATAAGAGAAAGAAAGGAAGAAAATGAGAGAAAGGAAAGGAAGGAAGGAAGAAAATAAGAGAGAGAGAAAGAAAAAGAAAATGAGAGAAGGAAAAGAGAAAGAAAGGAAGAAAGAAAGAAAAAGGAAGGAAGGAAGGAAGGAAGGAAGGAAGGAAGGAAGGAAGGAAGGAAGGAAGGAAGGAAGGAAGGAAGGAAGGAAGGAAGGATGGAGGGAGGGTCCCAGCTGGTTAATCTGGGACTTTCCACTCCATTTTAAATTGCCAACAGTCTTCCAAACAATGGTGTGCAATTGCCATACAGGGTGGCTTGCAACTTTTCATCTACAAAGACAAGACACAATTGTGCATTCTAAGGAACGTGGAAGCTTTTTCAAGCCTCTGCCAATGTCATGTGACATGCCAGTTCTTCACTGCTCCCACTTGCTTTTAAAGTGTAAATGTCTCACATGTTCTTTGTGAACCCTCTGAAGG